TAATTAAACGAACAAAAAACTTATTATCTCTGTTCTAAAAGAAATTGTTTACGTCACCGAACAGTTTGGTGGTATAAATAATTGTAAACTTTGGCCGTTGTCGAGTTCCTTTTCGGAATTAATTTCTAAGACAACTCAATATTTTATCGTCAATTACTAAGGCAAATATTTTGAGGCTATTATAGTTGTTTCTATACGGTGACCTAATAGTCTATTTTCAAAATCTATTGCAATCCCTTTCAAAGATATAGCGTTTGTTAAAGGGATTTATTATGATCCAATTTCATAGAATCACTATTGGAACCGATGATGATTTGAATGATCAAGTAACAACAAAAACGTAACTAAACCCGTCGAACGATTGCAGGTAGCATACAACTGTTTCGTTTGACATTTCTCAATAACTTTCAAAGTTTTTTACGTCCAACGCTTGCTTTAGACTATTCCAATGAACGTGATCTTAACGAAATCTTTCAAAAATATAAATATCACAATCACTCACATGTCAAATAGCTATACAATTAAGTTCGTGAATATTTTTCAAAAGTCAGATTGAAAGGGATTGCTATAAATTTTGAAATTAGATAATTAGCCCCCGAGAATTAACGTCCTAGTATTGTCGTTTGGTTTTGCTGTGACGAAGGAGTATGATCTAAATTTATACGTGAGCATTACAGTGTAACATATACAGGCAGTACTCCCTTAATGTATTCATGTAATTCGCATAGCCGGCATCCCCTTTGACCGGCCACGCAACACCGCACTGCCCGTCCGAATAGAGTAATATAACGTGATGTTTTAAAACCCATCCATCACATTTAATGTCCATATACGTAAAAAGAAGGAGCTAGCGTAGTGACTCTTTCCTCGCTAAAAAAATTGTGTTATGCGAACAAATTAATTAGGGGCTTTGGAGTGATGCTTGTATTAAAAATGGCATATTCTGGGTGAAAGGCTGGAATTTTTTTAAACCTATCTGGTAAGGCTTTTTCAATAATGCTTTTGCAAAGGCTTTTTCAATAATGCTTTTGTATTTAACTTCGTCCGTATTACGTATTACATAAAATATCAATTATTTGTGATAGTAGAAAACATATAATACTACTAACGGATTTCAGTTGAAACCCTTGTTAGACCACCTAAACCAAATAGATAAATTAGATTCTAAAATATATATTTTTTATTGTATGGTACAACATTGTATAATTGAGTATGTATATTATTATAATTACTAAATTTTGATATGAATAACGCAAATTAATTTATTTAGTCATGAGTTATTATTAGATTTTATTATATTTAACATGTTTGTATATTTATATATGACTGAAGTTCCGTACCATAAGATGGATTATTTTTAAGCCATTTTCCGTGATAAATATCTTGTTGCTTTCGGCAAAATGGCTAAAGATTTTCATATAATTACATTATTATACGCTACAAAAATGACAAAAAGCTTTTTTGCAATTTTAATACAATTTGTCTGTTATGCACTCTTCATTATTCCACGATTCAAATATAAAAGAGAGTGTTTCCTAACTATCCGTGTTGGTTGGAATAAAACCTCAAGTATCAGCTACTTGAATGCAAAAACGGTATGATGCGGCTGCCGGCCGGGAGTCGGACTGATGCCAATTTGCATTAAATGCGGTACACCCCCACCACTGATAAGTTACACACACCAAGATCATAGTTAAAATGAGAACAGTGCACAAAAGGGTTGAGAAAATATACCGCATGAACTCAACATAACATTTAAGAGTCCGTTGAAATTTGAAGGCAGAATGAGAACAATGTAAATACGTTTTAAGCTAGTTTATTATTAAAGGGTTTGACTAAATAAGGTAATCTAGATATCAGATATGGTAAGGCTAGTTGTTGATAAATTGTTTTCGTTAACATACATTAATTTTAAGCTTATAAATGAACTTGTCCTAATTGATTCGCCGAGCGTAGACAATTGAAGTTGGACTTATGAATATGATCTTTGATCAAAAGTTTTTTGTGAGTTGACACTTATAAAAGAAGAATTTTTGGAAATTAAACGCTCAAGGGGTGAAAACGAAGTTAAAAGTATCTATGGAATTCATAAGTTTTGAAATTAGAATCATGAAACTTTATTTGATTAATTTACTCATTTTTTATAAGTACCATAATAAATCATATTTTTCAGCGTTTGACATTCTACACGTAAAAAGGTATAATAGGATTAAAAATTTGTATGAGTCAGTCATTATTTGATCAATTTGCTTGAAAAATTCGTCAGTCCTGTTGGATCTCGGATAGCTCATTAGTAATAGAAGTCGCCCGGATTGCAAAAGATTGTGGTTCGAGTTCCATCCGGAGTAAATGGGACTGGTGGACATTTTGTATTTTTTTAAAATACCACTTTTAGTCTTGCGGAATTTCCACTCTTAATAGGATCAATTAGAGAGTGAAATATTTATGTAAGTTCATCGTTTTTAATGTTAGAAAAATGAACGTCATTTTTGCTTGCTTGTATTCCGAAAATCCAATCTAAAAGAGAATTAGCAAATGAAATACATTCAAATGTATATACACGCAATTTCATTAAAATCTTATCTGTTATAACAATACACAATAGCCTTATCATCACTGTTACAGAGGTAAAATTGAACTAAAAGCAATTTCTGGAATAAAAGAGTTTTGGATATGACAAATATGCGACATCCACTTTTTGTCTCGTAATGCGGTTCGTGATGCGTCTCGGCATAGTCTCGGTCACAATGGTAAACTTTTGTTTATAGTATATTTGTTTATAAGATATACTATAAACAAAAGATTGCCATTTTCGCACATAAAATTATCTATATAGCTTATGACTTCAACTGTTAATCTTTCTATAAAATATTTGATAAGAGTTTAATACAAGTTTATTTTAAAAAACAAGTATTTTATTAAAAACTATGTAAGTGAAATTACAATAGTATGTACTGAAAAATATTTCCACAGATAAGAAGCTTTTTTTGTAATCTGATCGAATTTAATCATAAACTGCTGTTACTTCTGAATCTTGAATATTGTGGTTGATACTTAGCAAAATTTATTTGGAATATATGATATTAAATTATGGACCAACCTCAGTATCTATTTAGGCGCTGCACAAACATAAACACTATTTGTTAATCAGTAAAAATATCAAGATGGCATAATGAGGAGACTCAAACTAACTCAAAGAGCCATGGAAAGATCTATGCTTTGGATATCTCTTCGTGATCTTATCAGAAATACCGAGATACGTAAACGGACTGGTGTTGTGGATATAGGGAAGCGAGTGGCTAAATTAAAGTGGCAATGGGCTGGCGATATAATGAGACGTCAGACGGACGTTGGAGCCAAAAGATAACCATATGGCGACCACGAACATCCAGCAGAAAACCAGGAAGACCAAAGGCAAGATGGTCCGATGATATTGTTAAAACAGCCGGCAAATCATGAATGCGTGAGATAATCTGCAGATCACGCTGGAGGGAGTTGGGGGAGGCATATGTCCAATACTGGACAGACAAATGCTGATAAACAAGAAGAAGAAGAAATACAACCACCACCAGCCCTTTTACGTCCCCACTGCAGGGGCTCAGGCCTTCCTTATGGATGGTTAAGGAGGATGAGCCATGACCCTCCACGCTGGCCCAATGCGGATTGGAGGGTATTGACGACTGCACATGCAGCCGGGACCAACGGCTTAACGTGCCTTCCAAAGCACGGAATAGCTCGAGATAATAATTTTATGGTCACCCATCCCGTGACCGACCCTTGCGAAAGTTGCTTAACGACTACGATCGCGGGCCGCGGCGCTTATCCACTACGCCACCGAGCTACAATCACAGAAAACTTTAATTGCTGTGATGATAGTGGTAATCTCTCAGTTGCTTGTTGTAATTATTGGTAACTAAATATATGATATTAAATTTTGATGCATTATACGTATAATGATAGTTGAAAATAGTTTCTGCAGAATCTCTTTGTTTCAATACGTCAGCTGCCAACTAAATAATTCCCAGGGAGACGTCATAATGGAGTGTAGCTGATTGTCCAACTTGCAAGCTTTGTGCGGTGAAACCCCATATTTCGTGAGTACAAAATTATTGTCTACGAAATTTTGTGTGGTTTTTTGGGAGAAGGGGGAATGCTTTGTGCTGAAATTTGAAACTATGACTTGTTATCACACACGGCTAGTGAAGTCTAAAATATATTTTTATGGTCTTTACTTTTTTAGAAATGATTTTAAATATTACTTGAAACTGCATCTAAATTGTATCTCGCCGTACTAAACTGTCATTGAAAATATAACAAGCGTCCTAATATACTACCTTGTGTAACAATATAATGTTTACTTTAGGATCAATTAGCTTAAAGTAGATCTGAAGTTAATATTTTGTAGATAAAACTTCAATCGTAGTTTTAAAAATTCAATCTTGCCATTTATACGCAATTTTAATTATTTTTGTATAAAAACTGGTAGTGTCAATACTGCATAATTATAACTTTCCATGTTAACGTTTGCTAAATCAGAGTCATACGATACAAAGTCACCAATGACATGGCATTCGCTTCAGTAATTTTCCTTTAAATTAAAAGGGATTTGGATTGAAATGAGATACTCGTTTAATGTTCTCTTTATAAAGCAAATTTACTGTATTCGAGAAAACAAGTAATTGACCGAATATGTAGGTCGTTATGCAATTCAATCGTGGTAAAGTCTAAGATAGGAACGAACAAGGTTCGCACACCGCATACTAAATTATTAGCCTACAGTTATTTATACACCGTGACCCAACATCTTAATAACGGTCCGAGTTATGTCTAACCTAAAATAATATTTTGCGTAAACGTTTGAAAATAAACAAGTGGCGTTCAAGCGGTGTACTTTACCGACACAATGCGTTGTAACTTCGCTGTGCGCGGCTGTTTGTGGCAATTTAAATGTTGAAGTGAGTTATTAGAAGGGTTTCAGTTTCAATTTATGTGTGACTTACCTTTGGATGTGCTCTTCTAGGAAAGGCAACTTTTGGGTCAATCTGTAACAAAATATTAATTGATAAATACCTTAACATTTATGTGTGGAGTACAGGGATTCGGGATGGCTAAAATCACAAAGGTCATAACACGCATGTGGTTTTGAGGGTATTTATTGCTACAAATACAACCTTGACTAACGGTTTAAAGTATTTCTGAAGTACAGAACAGTTAGTGATAGTAAATTTTTGGTTTCTCATTTTCAAAATGAGTTTGATCAGATCATGACTTTTGCTAAAATTGCAGAATAACCACACACAAAAAGAGTTATGTGACGAAAAGATGGGTTCGGTGCTTAGGCCAATTAATGAAAGGCTGATATAAAGTAAAGATTTTTTAGGTTTCTTAATAAAAACTTGGAACGTTCAAGTTTCAGGATATACTTTTATTTTATTTTAATAACATATCTTCACTAACAAAATTTTTATATTTAAATTTATACGATTTACAATATCCACAATAGAAAATATTTTTTACGAACCGCCATCCATAAAGATAATATTTGATTAGTTAAAATTTCAAATTACGTAAGGTGAATAATAAAAAGAAATGATGTTGAATATCAACGACAAAAGTTTGCATACTGAAATCTAGGTAAATAAACGGTGGTACGCCACACCGTTACAACTATAGCTTCTAAGCTATATTAAATTTAAAATAAGCTTTTAGAAAATGACATTTCTAATTGGAATATAAGTTCCTTATCTAATACCAGTATTGAAAGACTGGTCAAGCCCCACTAATCACGAACCGCACGTCGACTGTGGAAACGGCCACTATAAATTCGCATCGCCCGTGCGGCTACAATGTCCAGTCCTAAAACCCGGCAGCAAAAAAGCATCGGACAGAAAATCCTGCGCCGTAGTCCTGTCACTCGATTTCGCCTCTCGTCTTTTTCATGTAGCCAAGCGCCACTATTTCATACGTGGCACTGTTTAAGCCCTCAGATTTTCTCCCGGCAGCGAGCTCATTGGTCTTTTTGCTCCTATCTCAACGTGCCGCGCTGACCGCTATAAACGCAAAATATAAACCTAAAGAAGCTTTGACATTTTAAAGGTACAACGTTTCATTTCCTCTCACGCTGGACGTTTCTCGAATTCTGCATTTTATACCTTTTGTTTTTCTCACTCTTTTTTTGTTGTTACAAAGTGCACCGTTTAAAGTATTTGTAAATGGCAAATGTGTTGTTGACTACTGGTTCATGTAACATGTTCTGATATATTTTATTGAGTTTATGTATTTTACTATAACAGTTAGAATTTCAGTTACTTTTTATGTACAAATAATGTCGACGTTTGTAAAAAATGCTATTTTGTAAGGCAACGTTATAATTATGAAATGTCTGCCATTACGATATATTTCCTGTGACTTTAAAATTTTATGCGAAAAATTTTCACAAGCTCCATACTTAATTAATTATTGTACGCCTTTGAATGACTCGTAATTTTCCCCGGAATATTTTCTGATTTTAAAAGTTAGTAAAGAATTTTTCCAAAAGTTCCTTCGTTTCATATAAAACACAGCACAATAGATGCGGGAATAGGCATCCACGTCGCGTAATTACGAAGGAAAACCGTGAGAGAATAATTTAAAAGATTTTGCCCAAGAGGACTGCATTATTACAATATCAAGGAAACGGCTTTACGGCGTCATTCATACATTCTTAATTATTTAATTATCTTTTGAGTGCGCTACGGCATACTGTTACTGCAGAAAATCCAACATAATTTGATTATATTGGATTACGTACGACAGCTGAATTCATTTTTCCGTTGTATCTGATGATCTTGTAATTAGGTATTTAGATCATTAACATGAAATTAACGTTTGAAAAAAATACGCGGCAGATAATGGACACCGTAAGTACCTATGTCGGAAAGCTTTTAACCGGTTCACGCAAGCAATTTTGTAAACGTTGTAAAATGACCACGAAAGTATACAGAGCAAGCAGAAAAATCATAAAACCCCAGATGGTGGCGCTAAAGCGATTAAGCGGGCCGATGATAAATTTTAACGAGTTATTTTAATGGGGCGATCGCAGTCAGTGGCTGGCAGCCTGCGCCGATAGAAAAATAAAAACGAAACTCGCCGAAACTCTGTTTAAATACGTGACTCCGTGATTTTTTTTTTATTGCCGAATGTTTCATCAACTTTTAATGATAATGACTTTTACAAACAGTCTTCGCGAAGTCAGATCCATTGAACGTCTAAACTAAACGGCTCATGCTAGAATTGTTTCATGGGTTCCGTAGCTCTCCAAGTTTTTTTTCTATTTACGATTACGACGACGGTTATTCAAATGAACCTTTAAACAAAATTTAACTTTTAACTTTTGATTTGGTCTTGGATTTATATTTGGTTATAGTTATTTAATTTTTCCTTGGATTATAAACACTTTCGAATTGTTAAAAATTGTTATTATAAAAAAATCATCTAACACCACTCAACTTTTTAGGGTTGACTCAAAAACGGGACCCTATTACCGACTCCGCTTTTCGTTTGCTATCACCAGACTGTATCTCATGAAACGTGATAGTTAAAAATTTCCACAGATAATGTTTTTCTAGTACCACTATAAATATAAAAGATATTATAATAAGGTGCTCTTATATAACAAATGTGATTTTTTGACATTTTTATAGATAATGGTAAGAAACCCTTTGCGGGGAAGTCCAGCTCGCGCTTGGATGTTTCTTTAAATTAATATTGAATAATTATTTAGCCTGGCAACACTTATCTCTGGTCACATAGTCTGATAATAAATATGTGTATCATTCTTTTATATTCTCTCTAGATTATCTGTGTTAATAAAAAAATAAGCCTTTATAACTGCACCATACTCTAAAGTAACCTAAATATTACATGGAAAATATACACATTTATTTTTGTTATTACTTTGTATTATTTTTAATGCATCATAAATTCTCGCTAATCGTTCTTGGTGACCTAAACTCTTATCTCATTTAACACCTCTGTCGTCCATTGTCATGATTGACTCAGTATACTTTTGGTTCGGTGGCGGAGTACTGGATCGACGGCCATTACTTACTTGCGCAAAAATAACAACGAAATATCGATAGAAATGTGACATTTTGATATGGAGCCATTTGCGTGATTACAATCGACGCGGTGCCGCACCCTCCATAGCCGACTTAGACCTCCCCCTTCTTACAACTTCCCTTACGATAAAGATTGACATCACCGCTTTTAAATTTCAAATTATCCTAAGTCAAGCTGCGTGGCACAAACGAAACTGCACCTAAGCCGTTACAAAATACGAGCCTGTTTATTTATATAGGCAAGACGAATTTCAGCATGTCATCGCAAGAAAAGATTGTAGGCGAAAGCACATTAGTGGGATATCACTACTGGTTGGAAAGAGCATGTTCGCTTTATGTAGTCGCCATGATGGCATCGACGTTAAGTCGATTACGTACGTAAAATTTTGTATTAGGCAAACAGTGCTGAATATGATATCTTAAATTTTTCTCGCCTATAATGAACAATGGTATAGCAAACATATATTTCATCTTTTTAACTACAGCAAGTTTTTTAGCATCTTTTTAAGTATTATCATATAAAATATGTCAATTATCTCACATGCTAAGCTTCAAGCTTAACAGGTAAACAGGTAACAATAAACGTAATGCTATGAAAAATCCTATCACTATTTTAACGGTGACTTTCAAAGATTAGACCGTCACTTTACGTGCATTACCCCGAAAACATGGCTTGCTGATACATTCTTTCTCTCCTCAATATTAAGGGATAAAAGTATAGGCACCTAAATAATAATAACCAACTAACTCCCAGTTACACATATGTACGTCCATTATGGTTTAATGGCGACTATAAGCTCTAGTGAATGTTATAATATGTAAAACGTAAGTCTGTTATTAGTTCGGCAGTAGTAGCGAGAGTAGCTACGAAAGTATACTTTGATGAATTGAGTTGGATTGCTTAAATGAAAATGAATCATCAACTTGTATGTGTACATTAAATTGTATTGATTTTAATGTCATTATAACATTACGTTTAAATAAGAATATTTTTTAATAAATACAATAACACATTGAATAATATGTCATTATAACATTATGTTTAAATAAGTATATTTGTTATTAAATACAATAACACACTGAATAATCTCTTAAGAATTTATTTACATTTTAATATTTGTTATAACAAAATACTCTCAAACTCTCTCAAAAAATAAAATACTACCTACTTTAATTTATTTAAAATTCTTCAAGTTTTATAAATTATATAACATGAGTACGAACTTAAATGAATTTATCGCAACTATGTTACGCAACAAGTTAACATGACGCGCGCGGTGACGTACTGCATCATGACAGCTATATTCATAATGTGAGAGCATCACGCAAAAACGCTATTGCTCTTTAATAATATCGCCGAAGCTATTTCGGGGAGCAAGAAACTCTTACTCGACCCTAATAAATACGTTAGCACAATTATTATTACAATGAAGTGTCAATCAGAGGCAAACGCTAAATTAATAAGGTGAAAATTCTAATGACGTACTCACTGCAGAAGGTTAAACTAAATTTATTTACATGTAGACGAAACGTAAGTGTCGCCCGGAGTTAAGTGGGGACCACATCATTTACTGTTCACTAGGCGACGCTCTCTCTAACTCCTCCTAATTGGAACGAATTTGGCTGCAGGTGCAACACTCGAGTTGGCTCAAGATTAGGGGCGAGCTATTGCGAACATATTCCTAGCCGTAACCCTTGAAATATTCGATGTGCAGCGCGACTGCGGCCGCACCCGCCATCACCCAAGTGCGCCCCCACTAACTCGAATTAAATTAAGAACAATATTTACCCGCGCTGCTGAGATAAATGATATTGCACACTTACACTCTAGTTAATGTTAAGTGACGACTTATGTACCCACATTCACAGCATAAGCCACGGTGAGACTTCTCAGCTATATAAGGGCTTATTAACGGTGCTATCCGAGCACTTCTGTAGAATTT